TTCTGACCCGTGTGCAAAGTTTCAAGAGTTTTAGAGGATGTTAAGGCCCCCGAAAATGCCAGAGAAGTTGCACACAGCAAATAAAGGGTTAAAATTAACCTGACAGGCGCCCCTCCTCTCACTCACACAGAGGGACACTGAGAGACTTGCAAAATTCTGAGATTTTCTCTACATTCAAACAAACATATCTGACTTTCTGTGGGTCCTAGCTAATGAGTGTCAATTAGAAAGTTGTTCGGCTCGAGGAGTACAATATACATACTGATTTTTGTAACTGTAGATAAAACTAACAACCCCACTTTTGTCAAAAGGTGGCGCTACTGAGCCCTCACCACACCCGTTTCTGAAACGTTGCACATGTCTACTGGCTAATAAATGTGATGTGTCTGTCGAGTTTCATGCAATTTGAAGCATGCTAAGAGTCTCAAAAGCATCCTAAAAGAATGGTAAAGTTTGATGCGTTGCCACGGCAACAGTTTCAAAGATATCAAGAATCCATTCACAGGTCTACATCTGCCGTATGTTTACATTATACAGATGAAGTTTGAAGCAAATCGGTAAAAATAAAAGGGTGATATCAAAGCATTTTGAAAATGACACACTTCCTGCTACCAGTTGGTGGCGCTATAACTTTGACTCGCAATAGTCACATCCATGTGATCGTCCTCTTACAGCGAACACACTGCTGAAGTTTCATCAAGATCGGTTGATGTGTGCTGAAGTTATGATACACTTCCTGTTTCACGTTTCTCGCCATAATTTTGTTTCCTCGCCACGGCCAAACCGTTCCAGATATCAAAAATCCCCTCGCAAACTTTCATCCTCAATGTCTTGACTTCACGCTGACCGAGTTTCGTCGAATTTGGATCAAAGCTCTAGGAGGAGTATAAATTCCATTGCGAGTGTTTTTACGAACAACCCTCAATAGCCGACTTCCTGTTGGGCTGGGGTAAAAAGTAAAAGCGCGAGGTATAGATGAAACGATGAGATCAACATGTGTACCGAGTTTCATATTATTACATGCAAGCGTGTTTGATTTATGGACCAAGTGTTCGGACCCCGTTCCAGGGGGCGCTCTCGAGCCCCCCTGCCACGCCCGGGTACCAGCTTCAGCCCGGCCCTGATGGCCGCGGGTTCTGACCCGCGTGTGCAAAGTTTCAAGAGTTTTCGAGCATGTTAAGGCCCCAAAAGTGCCCGAATAGTCGTTAGAAAAATAAAAGAAAAAAAAAAAAAAAAAAATATCGGAAGGAAAACAATAGGGCCTTCGCCCTTCAGGGCTTGGGCCCTAAATATAGCTGCGAGCAGCGATGAAGGGCCCAAGCCGGTGCACCGCAACCCCGGTTCCTTAGTTACCTAAAAGCACCAGGGTGGCCATGCCACTGGCTTTGGCCCTTCATCGCGGATCACAGCTCTATATATATATATATATATATAATATATATATATATATACTGTATATATAATATATATGAAGCCGGTGGCACGCCACCCTGGTGCCTTTAGGTTTATTGTGCACGACATGCAAAATGTAACCCTGCTTTGACTGATGCAAGCTCTACAGCACAGTTTATAGTAAGAAAGAATATAGTAAGAAAGAAAAGTAAGCTGTTACTCTGAGATGGTTTGGGAAACAAACATTCATCATGTCGCATTGTTTTAGTTACTTGTCCTCGAACAGAGCCCTAATCTGTTTATTTTCAGTTACACATTCTACATTGATTAAAAAAGAAAAATCAAATGTGTTTTTAATTCATACAGAAATAAAATATTTATAATTCAGCTGAGAATAAAGTTAGTTCAAATTTTAGAAAAACAAATATATGATCTGAAATATAGCACATTCATTTTTAAATTCATTCAGGTTCAATTACCAAAAATACAATCTTAATTTAATTTAAAGCAAATAATAAATCTAAAATATATATGGGTTATATGCATATTTTTGTAAAAAAAGAAAAAAAAAGAAAGAAAGATATATATCCAAAAAACACAAGGCCTTAAACTTTAACAAGGTGCAA